AATATGAAAGAAGAATAATGATTTTGATCTTTAATTGGAATGTATATATGAACTTCTCTTGTTTTTCATTGTTTTCATCCTTGAACACCATTACCCTATATATAGGCAATGTCCAAATGCACGAAATAGTGCCAAAAAATAAGTAAAAAGACACCATGTTCAAAAAACCAATGGAAAAAAATGCCAAAAAACTACTAGAATTTTGTACCATGCGGCTGGTTGCATGGTACAAACCCATGCAGCCACATGGTATAAAACATACCGGGACATTTAGTCTCGGTATATGGCCATGCGGCTGCATGGTCCGCATGGTTCATTTTTGAGGTCATTTGATCTACTTGCATTCCAAATTCTCTCTTCTTCTTCTCAATTCAATTTTGAACAATATACAACAGCTGCTTCATTCCCGGAAGGGAATAAAATAGCCAACAAATTAGCGTATTTTTTTCGTGTCGATTGGATGTGTTGCAAGTGCCATAAAAAACTGTCAACAATAGACAACTAACTGGCTATCCAATTTGTGCATGCAAATTATACTAACTACTTCCCTCGAGGGAATACAAAATTGTCATTATACTCTTTTTGCGTGTACATGGCTAAATTTGCCATTTTGAGCCAATATAGAATCCTATACCCATAAGGTGATCATGGCAGCAGACAAGCTTGCACGAGCTCAAAATAAATTACACTAAAACAAGAAATATAGAAAGAAGTCGAGACTCGACAAAAGCAAATAGTGAAATCTTCGAGTCACGAGAAACCATGTGTTACCGTGAGTTCGCCACTTGAAGGATCAAATGATGCTTTGATTTCCGTTGACGAACAGTGACCACCGATAACCTCTACAGGACTACTTAAAAGCTTCACGGCTTGCTTCCAGTATCGTTGTTCTAAAACATCCAAAATTATTTTAACAATTACAGATCAAAATTTCTTCAAGAACAGCAATAGGGGGGATTAAAAGCATGTTTGTCCTGCTTAAAAAGTTCACTTATAAGTTTATTCCTAGTGAATAATTTCGTTGAAAATAGTATTCTTGAGATCGATCAAAACAGGATTATAGTACATTATTTATTTTGAGTAGGACAAGGCTTACTTTAAAAAAAAATTAAATTAAATTTAGCCAAACCTGCTATAAGAAATAAGCATGTTGAGCAGCAATAACTGTAACATTGATTTCTCGGAACAACACAAACCTGGTCCCGTCGGTAACACAGTATTATCCTCCGCTTCCAACACCCAATCAATCCAAAGAACAAATCCATGGCATATTCCAGACTCTTTAAACCGAACCTATAAACATATTAATCGGTCCATTGTAAGTTGCAGCTATGGAAGTTTGATTAAAAACTTGTGCAGTTATTGGCATACTGAAAATAAATATAATACCTGAGCTTTTCCAGAACATGGACCTATTGGTTTTAAGAAATCAAACTCCATGATTGTAATTATGTTACTGAGTTTCTGAAATTAAAAATTGTAATGAAATCACTATAAAAATACAGATGCCACAGCACAAATTATATGTAAAGTTTTCTGCCTTGTGGTACTTCCATTACCTTTGTCTTCCCACATTTCCATACAAACAAAGGCAGACAAGGACTCTCTTCTCCCACCGGTAAATCTCCACACGCCCCCAATGTCGTATTGACAACCAAATGATCAAAACCCTCGATTTCTTTCAGGCAACAACGGCTTTGCCAGAGATCCTAAAGAACATTTATACTTTTGTTCTGTAATTTATATTAAAAAAATACAAATAGAACAGAGTAAACAATACTGATTACAGACTTACAGGAAGGTAAAAGGCACAAGCCCTCAATATTCCTTTACAAGGCATTACTAGCACATCTTCTGATAGAAAGGAATCAAGTAAAGTTCTTTCCTTCCTATAAAACATATAAGAGAGAAAAACAGGAACTTATTCTTAATACCATTTCAGAGTAAAAGAAAGGCATAGATGAGCAGCAATCTGCACAAGAAAATAAACTAAAGGAAATTTTGTGCACGGCAAATCAAGGAACAAATGGAAATGATATGGTCAAGATGCGCGTGTCTTCCATTAAAGACTGGCATCCCATTATTTGGAGGCTTTACATTTCAAGGGTATCAACTTAACAGAGGCCTCAAGAATAACATGAGACAACCTCAATAAATAGTGATCCAATAGAAGACTAATAAATATCGTATCCGAGCCCATGTCCTTGGAAAAGAAGATTTTGATCCATGGTAACATCAATTTACTACTGTGTTACTCTCAAACTAAACTGAATAGGAATTTTTCATAGTTCGATCCTCAATGAAAGTGAAAAGATAATACTTAGCAGTAAATTGTAAATGAAAACAATGTCAAATATACTCAATAAGACTCGATCCTCTCAATGTGAGAGGTTCTCTCATTATATAGAACAAAAACCACAACTAAATATGGTAGATATCAATTACAATATTCATTGATGGTAACCTATTAAATATGGTAGTTTTCCTTATATTCGAGCTTTTTTTATATTCCACTGACATTCTCCTCAAATTGATGTTGGTAAAAGCATCAATTTGCAATCCTGAACTAGCATAAATTGGGGATAGAGAGTATTATCGAAGTGTATTAAAAAATTACCCTCTAAATTTAAAGATGCTTGCGAGCATGAACTGGCATAAATTGGGGAAGAATAGAGAGTATTATTGAAGTGTATTAAAAAAAATTACTCTCTAAATTTAAAGATGCTCTCTATGAATAGTAACCATAAATTCTACAAATAAAATTATCAAGGCAATGCTTATATATAATGAAATTAATCCTTTCACGCCAAGAACGTAATATCTTGTTTAATCACCATAAATTCTACAAATAAAATTATCGAGGCAACGCTTACCAAAACCTCAGATATTGCCAGGGAAGCATATTGTCGTTCCCATGATAGAATGGCTCTGCAATTAGTAGGTCAACCTGCAGACTAAAAGGTGTCATTTGTCGAGCTCTAAGGCCAACCACAATTGCTTTAAGAGCATGTTTGGCTGAGCCTAAAAAAGGTAAAAGTACTTGATCAGAAATAAGTAAAGACCTAAATAAGTAACTTTTTCAACTAAACATCCCCAAGAAAGAGAACATGTCTGTTTGGAAACCAATTATAAACTCCTTATAATTGAAATTATCAACCAAACCAACTTTTAAAAATCGTATTCCCTGACGGGCCTTGACATTTGTGCAGACCAAAATTAGAATTTTTTATTTACCTACTGTGTTTTCCCCTTAAACCAATAATAAGTTAACCATAGAAGAGATAACTCTTAGGGGCAGAATTGTCAAAAAAAAAAACTAAAGACTTCCAAATTTTAGTTGGTCCCCAGTTTTGAAAAATGTGGACTGAGGGCTGACACATATGTCAGCCTGTAGCACACCAAGATGCAATATACGCCACCACGTGTGGGGATTATAAATCTTTTAATCTAATGTTTCCAAAGCCTAAAAGAACTTTCTCAAGGTTAAAATTGCTTTTGTATCAAATATTGGTTGTTTGGCTAATGTCACAAAGTACTTTTTGACTAAAAAACAAACATCTTTAAAAAGCCGTCTTAGAGAAGCCCAAATCATGAGCTTCTCTTAAAAGCTCTAATTGTGCTTTCACGGGAAATTGTAATTTACATTTAATGAAGCTTTAAAATTTACAAAATACACATTAATATGTGGGAAAAAAAAAACTTCATAACTTTGTAACCCAATTAAATACATATAAAATTTATCCAAAAGCACTTTGAAAACACAACCAAACAATCAACGGCTTTTTAAAAGCTCACTACCTAAAGTTCTACTCACAACAGCCGTGCCAAAAAGACCCTAACTAAACATGTTTGGTAAAAAAAGTTACTTAAAAGTTACTCTTGCAATTTTTTAGGCTTAGGTAAACATGCTATAAATCAACAAATATATAT